GGTATTGCCTGACAGTAAGGGAGTCGAGGTAGTAGCAGACACACCAAAATCATCAAGTAACCACCGTAACCAGATCACCTCACCCGTCAACATAGCCATTGCTCGCAACTCAGCCTCTGTACTCGAGCAAGAAACTGCAGTGTTTCTTGGTCTTCCAGGCAATAAGAGAGCCACCAAGAAAGACACACTAAGCAGATAGCGAGCGTCGATCAGAGGGATCACTAGCCCAGGTAGCATCGGAGCAGTCCTGGAGCTCGAGAGAGCTGGAGCGGGGAAAGAAAAGGCGATGAGAGATCGTGCCACGAAGATATCGTAGAACACGGAGATGACTATAGTGGAGAGAGGTGGGGGCTGAAACAAACTGACTCAGGATGTGGACAGGGTAGGAGATGTCAGGACGCATAACAGCAAGATAGACAAGGCTGCCAACGAGGTGCGATAGCGAGTGGGATTAGGAAGAGGGTCGCCGTCAGAGGCACGAAGCTGAACGTTGAGCTCCATAGGAGTCACAACAATGCGCTCATCACCAAGAGCGGCGCGAGCAAGAAGATCCTGAATATATTTCTCCTGGGAGATGTAGAAGCCATCAGAGGTCGAGGAGATCTCAATCCCAAGAAAATATCGAAGTGGACCAAGATCAGACATGAGGAACTGGTCGTGAAGGCGAGCCTTAACAAAGGCAATGTAGTCAGAGTCGTCACTAGTGATGATCATGTCATCAACATAGAGAAGGAGAAGAGTCCGACCATGAGGAGATGTGTGAACAAACAACGCGGGATCATGATCACTGGGCAAGAAGCCAGCGGCAGTCACCATAGAGGCGAAACACTCGAACCAGGCGCGAGGGGCCTGTTTAAGACCATAGAGGGAGCGGCGAAGTCTATAGACCATGCCATCAGGAGCATAGTACCCCGGTGGTGGCTGCATATAGACCTCCTCACGCAACTCGCCATTGAGAAAAGCGTTCTGAACATCAAGTTGAGAGATAGACCAATGACGAACAGAAGCCACAGCAAGGAGAATGCGGACAGTGGTCATGTGGGCCACGGGAGCGAATGTCTCATCATAATCGCGTCCCTGCTCCTGCTGAAAACCACGGGCCACAAGCCGAGCTTTGTAGCGCTCAAGAGAGCTATCGGAGCGAGTCTTAATCTTGTAGACCCACTTGCAGGTGATGGGACGAACACCGGAAGGGAGGGAAACCAGATCCCATGTGCCAGAGCGCTCAAGGGCAGCAAGTTCTTCGGCCATCGCAAGCTGCCATTCAGGCTGAGTCATGGCAGTCTGATAGGAAGTGGGCTCAGCAATAACGGAGAGACCGTACCGAGCAGGAGAATAGCGATCAGGCGGAGGGCGAGGCCGAGCACGGAGGTTTATGAACCGGGGGAGGCGTGAAGGGAGGCGCACCGGAGGTGGAAGGCGCGTCAGGGGAAACATCCTCAGTACGAGGCTGGCGAGTATAGTGGAGAGGAAATGGTGAGAGAGGGCGACAGACTGGAGATGATGGTGGAGAGGTGGAGGAGGAGGAAGATGGTGTCGGTGGTGACTGAGAATGAATGAGAGGTGGGACATGAGGCACATAACGGGGTGTATCGGGAAGGAGAATAAAAGAAATATCGTCCACAGAGAAGCTCGAGGAAGAAGGACGTGGGTAGTAAGAACGAGACTCGTCAAAAGTCACATCACGCGAAATGCGCAGGCGACGACCAACATGATCCCAACAGCGATAGCCCCTGTGCTCATCGCTGTAGCCAAGGAAAACACACTCAACCGACTGAGCAGTCAGTTTGGTGCGTTCTCATGGGGCAAGAAGGACATAGCACACACATCCAAACATACGACCAGTTCCTCATGACGACTCTGACTACATTGCCTTTGTTAAGGCTCGCCTTCGCAACCAGTTCCTCATGTCTGATCTTGGTCCACTTTGATATTTTCTTGGGATTGAGATCTCCTCGACCTCTGATGGCTTCTACATCTCCGAGGAGAAATATATTCAGGATCTTCTTGCTCGTGCCGCCCATACATAACAGTTTCTGCCGACATGAATTCAAAGTGGAATTTGGGAACTGGAAGTTGTAGGGACAATACAAAAAGTATCTTATCTTGGAACAATGGAGGAAGTCAATGAGCATAAACCAGAAACTGTTGAGATTTTTAAACAAATTATTTTTTGCGAATTAATGATAATGCATCATTGCCCTCTATATGTTGAACCATTGGGGTTGCTTAAGTCCGGCTGCATCCTAATATAGGAAATATGAAGCATCCAGTTGGTCGTCCAATGGCTCAGTTCGTGGCGAGAAATTTCTTTGCACCCAGAAAAAAGAGAACACGTTTGAGCAAGCCTTGATTCTGAGCCCTTGGTTAGTACATTGGCCAGGCAGATTAAATTGCAACTCCACATCATCTTTTAAGTTGAATTCACATCTGATCCGTTCCTTAGAATCATTTGACTAGAGATGGGGTACATGTGTTTATGTATCATCCCTAGTTGGAAACGTACATTTATTGAATTAGTAGTTACATACTGCTGCGGCCTTTGTTGAACTTTGGTGTTTAAAAGCCAAATACATTGAGTTTCATCTTTCGTTCTTGAGGGTTACACAAACTTGTTTCTACCTCCAAATTTCTCAATCGTGTGGTTGTTCCAGTTCCTTTTTCCATCAATCTTTATATTTTTTTTCCATCATAAGAAGTTAAGAACCGAATGAAACACTGCTGGTTTTGCGCATCAAATTACACATATATCGAGATTTGGTCTACTTTATTTGCTAATTGTGTTGTCATTCTATTGTTTTTACCATTAAACTATTGTCTTGTTGAGTACATGATTTCGTTCTAGTATGACTACTTAACTCAGTCATATTAAGCCTATTTGATCTGATCAGAATGGTTGACGAAACTTAAGCTAGCTTAGCGATCGGCTAGCTGTCACTTATTTGCTTACTTCCTTCTCTTTTTCCATTAAATGCCAGTTTAAATAGTCTGGATCACGAGACATCTACAAGACAATGACCATTTAGTTGACATTTCAATGTTACTTCTGAACTTGTTCTTCTGTAACTTGCATGTTACCTCAGTCCTCAGTTACTAAATTTTATTTACTTTGAACCTACCAGTTTGCATGAATTTGAGATCTACAACCAAACTTGATGGTTCATGCATCTGTATTGTGGCAAGACAACACAATAGAAGGTACTAAGCAATTAAAGTGGTTAAAACTTAAGCAGTTCCAGAAAATCCAAGGAAAATAATATGGTTAGCTCCAGTCAAAGTCAAGGAGAGAGAGTTCCCTTACCTGCAACTAGGCCAATCCCTTTTTTATATAATTCATCATCATTGGAGGATGACAGATTTTACTGTTTAAGTAGACATTTGATTATCTTTAGTATGCTTATAATATTTAGTAGATGACGCGCACGAGTGCACTTCCCGAGCTTTCCAGCTATATGCGCCGAATCATATCATGAGGTGCTTGGAAAAAATATTAATCTCGCATGCTGATCTCGAGATGATCTGACTAGGCATTACTGAGGGCTTCATTAGTTAAACTGCAATTGCTCAACTTCCAATGGTTTAAAGTTTTTTTAACTTTTATTTCTTAACCCTTCCTTCCAAAGGAATATGTTAGCAAATAAGACGAACCAGTGTTTTTGTGCACCAATATGATTGATTGCATGACTACTAAAATGTTGAGAAGTATGTTTCCTTTTTTTCTGACGTTTCGTAGGTAGGCATGAAATGGGCAATGGAAGGTAAACCATCACCCCATCAGTGCAAACTTCTGTTTGGTAGGAGAAACTTTGCTCTTTCTGTCTCTTGATCTGTACAGGTGCACCTTTTTTTGTGATGACAATTGCACCTTTTTTGTGTTTGACAGACCTATTGCCTATGAAAATATATATCAACTAGGCTTGCATATTTTTACAATAAGAAAACGTCTGTAGGATTCCATTTTTAGCATCTAGAATGCATGTTTGTTATGGATTCACATTGCTTCATGAGCTTTCAGTTTAAAGAAGATAATAATTGAGTAGAGTACTTCATTTCTGAAATCAGGGTAGTAGAAGATAATCTCAAAATATTTTCCTATTATTTTTTTCCTTCGTCGCTGTTGTTTCATGACTAATCATTTTACTAAATCTGCTATGCTTAGCTCTGAATCTGTTTCCTAGTGTTTTTGTGTAATAATTGCTAGTGCTCAGAACAGGGCTTAGAATATTGTTGATTGACATGAGAGTATGAGACTAGAAAATTCGTTGATCTTATATTGGTCATAAATAATACAATATTTAACCACTATATGTTTTCCATTACATGAAATACTTTAGGTCAATTGCTATTTCGTTAAAAAAACTGCAACTGCCCATGATTCCACAGAAATCTACGGTAGATTCCTTGTGTGGTAAATATGATGATTACAACAGAATGCTTCTTTTTGGCAGGTTATTACCTATTAAATTTAGCTATGGCTGCCAAAAAAGAGCATTACATTTCAAAACAACCCCTCTGCTTTATCCAGATTGTGGAGGTAAGGCAATATTGTAAACTTTATTCAAAAACAACCCCTCTGCTTAGCCAAAAATACACTCTTAGGACTAGTCTATTGAATATTTAAACTCATGTATTGATTGATTTTTTTACCATGGTTCTAGGTGTGTCAAGAATTGAGAGTGATAACATGATCGCTTGCATAATTAGGCATAAATCTTAATTAATGACCTACACAGAAATTGTTGAGTGCATTTGGTATTTGATCAATAACAACATTTAGAAAAACTAATAGATAAAGGAATAATATGAACCATGTTAAGGCGTACATATATATGAACTGGTGCATCTACCTGAAGAATTTGGGTACAATTGCCTCTGGTGATGTACATTGAAATTACATGGTTCCATCAAGACAAAATTCTGTCAGTAGTGCACCGGCTTAGTCCAAGAGATAAAGAGCATCAAAGAAGTAAAAAAAAAGACTATTTAGTGTTTTATTTTTATTAGCACAAAGGTGATCGTTGAGGCACCCCTTTCCTTCTGCTCATGTTTGTGGCCATGTCATCGTCAGAGACCCGGCTTGCAGATCGTGCACAGATATATGGTCCGCTGCGCTTCTTCCGGACAAAATTTGTGTATGGTATGCTCAAATTATCGGAGTCTGATGATCCCATAGGCTCATCAGCATCAACAAGTGTTGATTGGGTTGTCTCATCATCAGCGTCATGAGGAATGAAGAAGTCAGGACCAAGCTGCAAGGTCTTGCATGGACGCAGGTATGCTGACAAGTCTTTCTTCTTCCGTAATATGTACTCAACCTGAAAAGGATGCATATGAGTGAACGTGACAGGTAGTTTTCATATGTATGTCCAGAAATTGACAGTTCGCTTTAAATGCATTTAATGCCTATCTGAACATATTTTCTGAATTTGCTAACATTAATTTTCATATATTTTTACTTTATAGTGCTTCTACCAGCTGATTCTCCAATCAGATTCTTCAGGTAGCTAAATACTCTGATATGGATATTGCATGGCAAATGAGGTCAGATGCTATTGTAGCTAAGTACCTTTTAGAATCTAGATCAAAATTGTGCTGCTTCTCTCATTTAGTATGAATTATATTCTGCGATTCTATCAGCCATCGTAATTCAGTCGAATATAATTATTTTGTTAGTCATCATAATTCAACTCAATATAACTACATTATTTCTCAGCAATCAGAATTAAATTGCATGTAATCACATGGAATAACACTAGATCGCGAGTTCTACTAAATCACCTTGCAATCCAGAGAGCAGTAGAAATAGGGCTCTTGAAGGCTCCTGTCGCAGGAGGTGCAAATATTCCCTGACCCCTTAAATTGCCTATTCTGTGGTCTCTTCTTCAGGAAAACGACCTTAGAGCTGTTAATCGTGTATGACTGCACCATGTAGATACAGAATTATGAGCATGCATGCATCTCAGACAACAATTATCAGACTCACATGCATACTGTGTAGACTATGCATATTACCTGAACACCGGAACAGTCAATAAGCTTCTCAAGGTCCTCCAGCCGAACGACGTCATGGTAGACATATCGCCGGACCTGCAGGAGCCGGTGTACCCGGTGTGTCGACACACAGTGTGGGCAGATGCTGGTGCAGCAGTCAAGGCAGCATATGTTCTTCTCGTTCTTCTTGGCGTGCTCATGGAAGGGGCATGCCACGAAGAACTTCTCTGTGCTGAGGGCCTCTAACCATGCTGGCTTCCACATTGCCTGATGATGCTGCAAAACTCCAAACGATCTTTGCATCACTAAAAGATGAACTTAAATGAGGAAGCATGAAAAAGGTGGGAATTCTCACCATGATTATGTATGTCGGTGTAAAGCCTTCGGTGTTCTATGTGTTCTTTGTTGGAAGAGGAGTGGGGAGCTTTGACGAAGAGAGTACGTGTAGCTTGTGAAGAATGAGAGATGGGGTGTTTAGTGGGCTAAGAAGGATTAGACCAGCCAGAAGAAGGGGGTTATATACTTGCATTGCTAGAGCTTTTGACATTTGACTCCTTAATATATGGAACTATCATGCGAGGAGCCTTGCTTTATGAAGGAGTAGTGATAGGCATGTGTAGTTACTTTGTGCATCATATTAAGAACATGTTCCTGAATTGCCGTTGTAGCCTTGTAGGTGCCGGGATGTCATATTTCTAAAAGGAAAGTTGTTTCACAAAATATAATTACCCATTCTAAGGAGCTGCAAAATCATTTCGTATGGGTTGCCCATGCACTCTGTGGTAAAGTTGATCCTTCTAAAATTTCCAATTTATAGCATAAAGTGGCTTTTACTTCTCAGAGAAAAAGTCAACTAATAAGTATCTGCGTGAGCCCATGACATTGATTACAGTATTCTACAGGTAAATTACCTGCATGAACATAAGTTTTCAATCTATTTTGTAATTTCAGTATCAGGTTGAATTACTGTGTGCACTAATAAGTTACAACGGTGGCTCTTCTCTGGAGAAATTATGAAAATCTGAAAATACCATGCAAAATAAAACAGATCATTACAGTTAGCTGGTAAGCCTGATTGATGCCGGTAAGTGTTTCTTGTAAAATTTCAGTCACTTTAATTTTCCTTGTAAACAAGAAATGTTTATTTCTTCAAGAATGAATCAAGATATATTTCACAGATGCTGGTTCCGGGCGGCATGCAAACGGCAAGGTCTGAAGTTTTAGCATTAAAATCTGCTGCATCTCTTGGAGATTGGGCTGATGTGCATGACATGTACTGATGTACACAGGGAACCAACAAAGCACACAAAAACAAATCTAAAGGAAAGAAAGGGAGGTGGGGAGGTGAGGAGAACGTGGATGCTGTTTCTAGTGTTTCCCAACCCTTGTGCCAACTTTTTAACTTATGACCAAAGCTCAAATCTCTAGCCTTGGCTATTGAGCTCACCCCTCTAAACAAATGCAGTCCCCAAGGACGCGTTGATTCCTTGTTTGGAGCCTTATGTGGGGGGGAGGGGATGGCCTTTCTTGGGCAACCCATGCATACAATATAAATCTGCGGTCTCCACTAACAAATTACTGCCTTGGGCTTTGCCCCATCCATCGTGTTTGCCACAGGCTAGGTGTTGTTTTACCCGAGTATTATATCTCAAATGGTGAGCTATAGTAGCTCAAATCTGTTACGGAAGCGCACTCTGTAACTTTTGGGGAATCTACATTCTGTTTTACTCTTCGACTGTTCTTGTTCCGAGCACAAATATGTGTGGTTTATATCTTTCTTAATTTTGAATGGGTATCCTAAGTGACAGGCTACAATTACTTTCTGTGGATCAACAGAGTCTTGTTATGGAGTATGGACTATTATTATGTACTTTGTGCTATGAAACCTTTTTCCTGGTAATTGCTGTGGCCTAGTTACTGCCTTTTGCAGTTTGCACTACATTGGGTATGTTGTCTATGTTTAGTTTTCACATGCAAGGGTTACAGATTCCAATATCTAGCTTGGCTTGTTCCAGGCGTGGATTCAGTGAGGCACGAAATGGCTTGTCCCAGGTGTGGATCCGATGAGGTTTTGCAAAGAATCAATTATATGTAGATGTGTATAGTCCATTTAGAAGTTTAAGATGGTACTCTTCTGGTTGATCCGAGCCGTGTATGTTTTTTCTAATGATTCATCGAAAAAGAACCTTTACTTCCTTGCAGATATTGGTCCACTATCCCTGCAGAGGTGAGCTGATGGACAGCTCCACCTTAAAATGTCTGACTGACCTTTCAATTCTGGAGGTGAAACAAAATATTTGGTGATAGCTAGTTCTAAGAGAAACAAGGTTTGCTCGGTTTCATCTCTGATACTTTTTGATATTGTCTGTAATTGGTGCATTTGCAAGAGCCTTAAGTTGTGTCATGGCCAATTGGCCATTATCGCTATTTCGCTATGTAACAACTGCTTTCTATTGATCAGTTCATGTAGGTTGGTTCAGTTCGCTGATTTCAGGGAAAAGACAGTTTATTACCTTTTTTGTGGTACTCGATGACGATGTTTAATGCTGATTTATGATAATTAATCTGGGAAGCTATACTGCTACAGGGAGACTCTTTGCTTCCATACTATAATGCCTGACGCTTAGTTTCAGTGAGTTGTCCTTTTTTAATTAACATTTCTTTCTTCAACCAAGTTTCCAGGAAACTAACATGACAAGCAGCTGAACATTACGCTGATCAGACTGTGATCAAATGGCCCAAAGAGATTAATACATTTAACATCTTTTTATTTCTATATCTATGTATACTTTCTGGTATCGGTTTCGAAATTTTTTATGCCTACTTTGATAAGCTTTGGCTCCTAATATACAAGTATCTTGATATATTTTTAGTACTGCTCTTTTTCTTTTGACAACTAGTACTATGAATTTTACCACTAGTAGCATTCAGTTAGGGAGAGTGGTAGCCGAAATACCGAAACTATTTTGGAGATTGTGCAGGCGTACAAGAAGATGACAAGTAAAAGAGAACGCAGGCTAAATCCTTTTTATACTAACTATAGTTCTTGTCGATTCTTCCTAGCAGCATGCACCCCCTCAAAACCGAAGCCGCGTGCGTGCATACGTGCAACGGCAAGGCTCCAAAGCCTACGCCCCTCAAACTCGCGTTCCTTCCATCTCCTAGGATTTGACCTGAACTAGGACTGGCTGCTAATTTGATTCGCCGGAAGCGCGGTGTGTGCGTGTTTCTTTTTAATGATCTCAAGAGTGGTGTCTAAGCAACGGATGTTGTTTCTTGCTTGCGATTGTAGCCATATGTGTAATCATTAATCCAGCTTGGGCTGTCACAGGCTCGCTCACACCACAAACCCAAGTCGACCCACCCCTGTATTTTCTATTCTAACCGGCGATCTTTCACGGTTCTAAACACCGCTTTGTCGGTCCCTAAACCCCGGTCAAATTTGCTCCAGTGTACCGGAAAGCTATTCAAATTGTACGGACGCCGAATCCGAATATTTTTACCTTCAGTCAGAACACTTCACCCACTGATCTCGGGCACTAGTCCATGACGCGCGGGCCACACGGCTCGAATTGCCTACACGGCCAGTGGCTGTGCGGTGAGCTCGAGAGGCGCCGCACGGTGGTAATGGAAATGGAGAGACTGGAGTGGGTTAGCTTTAGCAAGTGATGGTCCATGGAGATCCCAACCCCGAGTTCCAACCCGGCCCGAACATTTTCCTCTTTCTCCCCTTTATCTTTCGTCGCACGCACGCAGGCACGTCCGCATGTGCAGCGCCGCACGTGTGCACGTACGCCCTTTCGCGTAGAGAATCCATGGCGCGCACACGTGGCGGGATCCGAGGTGGCGGGCCAGGGGGCCGGCCTGCTGGTGGCCTCCACGTGAGGGCGTCTGACACAAGGTTAATGCGTGGAGGCGCCTTCACGTGACGTGCATCGGCCTCCGCGTTGGACCGGATGCGCTGCGGTGCCTTCCGCTGTGGCCTCCTCTGTTTGTTGCTGCTGCTGCGGAAGTTTCGCGGATGATGAGCGTAATTGCATAGTTGGTCGATCTTCTTGTTTCACCTCTCTTCTTGAGATCTGGTCTGCCTTTCTAAATCTGGAGCTGTGGTATGCGTACTGGCTTACTTGTTTTTTTAGAAACTTTTGATCTATTGATTTTCAATCACGACAATAAAAAAATGTCAGGTAATAAAAATTACAACCAGGTCCTTGAGCCACTTAGGCTCTGCTTGGTTTCAAATAAGTCACCAACTTATAAGTCGAAAAGTGAAAAAAAATGACTTATTTTATCAAACAGACTTAATTTATAAGTCACCCCAACTTATAAGTCATAAGTTGCTTTACCCCAACTTAAAACTTATAAGTCACCCTTTTTTGCATGGGTCCCACCACATTTACATACAAAAATAAGGTGAAAAGGTGTGGTCAGATGACTTATAAGTTAGGTGACAACCAAACGGGTGTGACTTATAAGTCACTGGTTTTAAGTCACCTGACTTATAAGTCAGATGACTTATTGAAACCAAACAGGCCCTTAATGACGATTATAAGCACTGGAGCGAGCCGAAGACGCGCTGCCGTCATTGCCCTTCTCTTGTTGGAGTCGGCCGATCTTATTGTAGTAGACAGTCGGGAAGTCGTCATGCTAAGACCACATATGAACAGTGTACCAGAGTAGCAACCATCATCGATGATAAAAGTCGTAGGTCGGAAGGATCAAACATGTAAACACCCAAACAAAGACGAACGAAGACCGGACTTAAACAAATCCAGCGAAGACAAGCACCGCCCGAATCCCGCGAGATTCGACGGCGACACGCCTCCACACACCCTCCGACAAAGTTAGACGCACCATGAGGATGGAGATAGAACGTACTTGTTAGCCTTGTAATGAATCAAGTAGTCCCACCGTCCGGTAATATAGGACTAGTGTCAAAAAATGTTTTACATTATAGAACGAAGGGAGTAGTTATAGAAAAACTCACGTGAAAATGTATTTTGTGAGTTTTATAAAATATTAAAAAAATCACATATGTGCATACTTCTGTCATCCACAAATAAGTGGACATATAGAAATTTTAAGATATATTATGTAATTGAGTATTTTCTTTTATTTATTTTATTTTGTATTTTTGTCATATCTATCTATCAAAAACTCTTATCTTTTAATCTTGCTCATAACCGCCGAGGGATTGACAACCCCTCTACGCGTTGGATGCAAGTATTTATTGTTTGTGTGTAGGCATTGTTTACATAGTGTTGCTTGGTTTTTCTAATGGATTGATAAACTTGGTTTCATAATTGAGGGAAATACTTATCTCTACTATACTACATCATCTTCTTCTTTTCGAGGAAA